AGGGGCCTGTTCTTATTCTATGGAGTCCAAAAGCACTATGAATAACCATATACCTGAGGTTTAGTAGTAAACTCTTAAAATCCTTACCAAAGCCTTCATTTTTAACTAAGTTTCAGAAAAAGTTTGTATGCATTACATTTCTCCCATTAAAAAAAAATCAAAGCATAACCAAGATTTTTGAGTTATGCTAATCAATTAATGATTCTATTAGTATGGATGTAATATATAAAGTTAGCCAATAAAAATAAAACATCACCTTGAAAAGAAATGCTACAACAAAGATAATCTTCAACTTTTGAAGATATTCAGAAGTGTCTCCATATTTGGTGTCCACATGGGTAGTGATATTAATCAAAATGGCACACAGAAAGAGGTACACAAGTGCAAGAGAAAAACTTTTGAATGGCACAATCTACCATGAATATGCTAGAGCCACAATCCCTTGCCTTTGCATGCTTTCAAAATACTTGAAGTATCATTTCTTTAAACTACTCCACCACTGCACTGCCCTCTCCACCTCTCTTCTTGTCTTTCAGAAAGATTGAAGTGTCATTTTCCTTAGGAAGCCTTCCCTGATGCCTCTTCTCCGTGCTTCCAGGGCAACCTGAATAAGCTGCAATGACAGCACTAATCACACTAACAATATTTAACTGTCCAATGCCCTTAGTCTCTTGAGTTTAATCACAGTTCTAGAAGTTTAATATTCAATACCTGATGAATAATAGTTCTTTAAAAACATTCTGCCTGAGTATGTTCTGAATGAATGAGTTGTAGAAAGAATTCGAGATGCTTATAGAGTATCTACATGGTGATAAATAGAAAGAGAGTCTAAATTGAGTTAGGAAGATGGCTCATATTATAGATATGATAATTTTGTCCTAAATTTGGGATTGTTGCTTTGGCAGATTTAAACAAATTTCATCATCAACTAGTTTATGGATAGACTACAGAGAAATATAAAATTTTCATGTTGCAGGGTGCCTCAGCAGGTTGTGTCTGACTCTGGATTTTAGCTCAGTCTCATGATCCTGAGATCCTAGTGTCAGGCTCCATATTCTGGGCATGGAACCTGCTTAAGATTCTGTCTCCCTCTGCCCTTTGCCCCCAATAACTAACTAACTAAATAATAATAAAATTTTCTTCATGTTGCTTAATCCAAAGAGTACTTTTTAGTTGCCCACTTGAGTTCTCAGTTTCATTCAACATAGCTGACATACTTGATGATCCACTCCTTCCTTTTTCAAATAGCCTATTGTCTATTGCCTCGGCTTCGGTGATGTCAAGGAAAATTTCTTCCCAACTCTGGCTATACCTTTTCAGTCTCCTTTGCTACATTTCTTTTTCCCAAAATTTAAATGTTGAAAATTCACAGGGGACTACTATATCTCTTTATCATCTCTCTCCCTGGGCAATCTCATTCCCCATCTGCCACAGTAAGATATCAATTGTAAGCCATATACTTAGGATTCCCAAATGAATTATGATCAATACTCTCTTTGCTTCCCAGAAACTAACAAAAAACAAAACAAAACAAAAAACCTGCTCTTCTCCCCAGTATTCTCTATATTAGTCACAAGAATCGTCAACCCTAGAAATTCTGCCTTCTTTTCTCTCTAGACCCTTTAATCTAATTTATCACCAAATCCTATCAAATTACTCCCCCCTAATCTAGCTACTTTCTATTCCTGCCATACTGGACCAAGATTCCATCATCTCTTGCCTAGGGTACTATATTAGCTGAGCTCAATTCTACTCAAAGGTGTGGTCTGCAGACCAAGAGTCATCCATGAACTGTTACTGGTCTGAAACAAGGTAAATACAGTATCTAAAAGAAGTATTTAGAAATTTGTACAGCGATTTGACAACTGCCACAACATCCATTTTATTCTGCGTCACGAAAGTACCAGTACAGGTTAGAAACCAATCAAAACCAAACCAAAGCAGGTCCTTCTCCACAGGTAAGTTTGAGAACCACTAGCTATCCCTGCATTTATACTTGCCTTTCTCCAATGTGCCCTCTGCAGAGGAGTCAAGTATATTTTTAAAGTAAAAATCTAAGTAACTTATTCAGCTTTTTAACATTATCCAGTGGCTTCCCACTGCCAGAATTTAAGTAAAAATGCTTAGCAATGATTGACTATTGTGATCTGCTCTAATCTCATTTTGCATCACCTGCTTTTCAGTTCTAGAAAGCTGAAATTGCCAACATTACTTGAGTAACTCGTTAATCCTTCAGATTTAACTAAAAGTCATTTGTCCAGAGGAGAATTTCCTGATACATTAGTGGGTTTTCATTGCTTAAGTGTCCTTTGTGGCAATTATCATAATTTTAATTATTATTTTTGTAATTAGCTATCTAGTTTCTTTATTCCAATAGCTTTTGCTTCCAAGAATACAGGTACATTCTTTCCATTAACACACATTACCAGAGCCTAGCAGAGTGCCTGGCACATACTATTTGTTCAATAAACTTTTCTAAGTGAATAAATCTATGTCAGGAAACAATGGTGAGCAGGACCACCAAAATGCAAATGCCTTCAATATCTAGTCATACTTAAGACTTGGGATGAGTCTGTGTACTTACTATGTGCTTTACAAAAGCTACATCTCCTTTACTTCTCTAAAAAACCTAAAAAAGGAAACTTCACTGTCAGAGTTTTTTTTTTTTTTTTTTTTCTTTATCCAGAAAGGTGAAGAACTTTGCCTAAGGCAACCAACAGGAACTGGAAGATCTGAGAGGCAACAAAAAGTAATAGATTACCCAATATCATCTGGCTCCATTACTTATACATCTGTGTGATTTTATGGAAGTCAAATAATGTCTCAGTTTCTCAGGTTCCTTATTTGTGAAAGAGATATAATAAAGCCTTCTTCAAGAGATAGGAGGTTTAAACAAGATGTTAAATTATTTGAAACAGTGCCTGGCACAGTGTTTTATAAGTGTTAGTGACTACCATTACCTTTTATATTACCACTACTCTCTAATAAAACAATTTTACCTGTTTACTTGCTTACTGTCTGTCAGTGCCACATTAAAATAAATTACAAAAAAAGCAGATTCCATATTATTATTCTCTGATGGAGCTTTTCTCCAAAAATTAAGCCCTAAATAGAAACTGACTTAAGTGATTACTCAGTTCTCTCAATGTACAAAGCTAGTACCATTTCAGGTCCATAAGAGAGAAGTTAATTCATTATATGCCCTGGATACCTTAGAGCAATTAGGGCTTGATACTCACTAGAACTCTTTGCCCAGAAGGGCTGCTCCTGTGTATCCTCAATGCCTGGCATGAAGTAAGTGCTCATTAAATAATTTTAGAAAGAATATGTACAAAATCAAAGGAAGAGTGCTCAGCACAGAGTAGATGCTGAATGTCAATTTCATTCCACCCCCATAAAAGTTCCTACAAACTTTCAAAGTCTTACTCTAGGGGAGTCATTTTTCTTGAACCAGGGCTTACACCATTCAAAGCCAAAAATGCAGAATACAGACAACAGGAAAGCCAAAAGACAAAGAAACCAGTGTTGGCAGAAACTATGTGAAAGATAGGTAGAATCTGGATATGTGGGGAAAAGAGCAGAGGTTATTTTAGGCCAGAGAACAGCATAAGCAAAGGTACTGTCACTCAAAAGTTTGGAGTACATTTCACTGGTGACACAAAACAGGATTTTAAGCTATATGTGGGAAAACATCTTTATCTTGATAGTTGCATACGTCACTATTTATAACATTATTAAACCAAACAGTACCGATTTGGATTTTAATGGAATTGTCATGGACTACACAGGAGGTGAGCAGATATGGCAAGAGCTGTCAGGGTTTTCTTTTTGTTTTTCTTTTTTAAAAAAGAAAAAGGTTTATTTATTCATGAGAGAGATGGAGAGAGAGGCAGAGACACAGGAAGAGAGAGAAGCAGGCTCCATGCAGGGAGCCCGACAGGGGACTCGATCCCAGGACTCCAGGATCATACCCTGGGCCAAAGGCAGGCCCTTAACCGCTGAGCCACCCAGGTGTCCCAACTGTCAGGGTTTTAAAAGAGTGAAATTTGGGGAAATATTAAGGCATAGTCATATTCATAAACATAATATGTTGAGACAGAAAAGCTACCAGTCTTTTGAGTGAAGCCAAGCTCTTTAGTACCAATTCAACATAAGAGACTGATGAGAATAATCAGTTTTAATTATTTAATTAGCAGCATACTTAAATTTTTATCCATAAAACCCTCCTTTACCACTATGATAAACCTGCTATATATTTCAATTTCATTTATTCTCAAAACAAATACAAAATGTTAAGGATTACCTGAAGCTGGGACCGACCTGCTTGGGGCCTGGAAACTTACCTGAAAATGAGCTAAAATTCTGCACTTTTCACACAAGGAGGAATTGATTTTTACAATACAAAATATGAATCATAACAACATCAAATAAAAAGGTGTTAAATGAAAAGAGCAAAAAGTAGCCTCCTAGTTCCATCTTTCTTCCTCAAAATTAACCTACCAATAGCCAAACCCAGTAAAGCTAAGGGACGATGATAAAGAACATTTACCAAGCACTTCCCAGGTGCCAGGAACTGTTGTATTTTACCTGCATAAGTTATGCACTTATCACCATCATCTTATCAAGTATATCACTAGCCCCATTTTATAGCTGTAAGAATACTGGGGCACAGAGAGATTAAATAACTTGCCCAAGGCCGGAGCTGGTAGATGGCAAAGCAGGGGTTTAGATCCTGGCAGTTGAGTTACATCCGAGCTCTTAACCACCAGGCACCATTTCTCCCAAGAATAACAGGATGATAATTTGACATATTCCACTTTTCCCATTATGGCAGCAGAGATGTAATTTTCCAAGGTATAAACCTTTTATTACTCAAATTTCCTGTCTAAGAAATAGTGGATTCAGCTGTAAGGAAAAACTGCGAAAAACAAGTATGATGGAACAATCTAGGCCCAGGATTATTCAAATACAGACAAAGCCTCAAAAAAAAGTATGGCTGAATGACACAGTTCACGGAGAGAGAAGCCAAAAGTTTGGATAAGCGAAAAGGTCGACCTTTTCTACTGGGTCTCACTGCTCTGAGAAGAAGGCGACCACCACCGTGTCTCCCCTTTATTCAGTGCACACAGACTCGGGAGGAGAAGGGGCGGCACGGGGGGGGGGGGGGACCGTGGACATCTGGGCCCTGGGCCGCAGAGTTAGTTTGCCGCGAGCTGGTGAACGTGAGGAAGCATTGGGGGGGGGGGGGGGGCGGCATGTGCGCGGGGAGGGTGCAGGGCACGACCCCGCAGTAAGCACGGAGTGGGCCGGCTGGAGTGGAGGACGCACCCCCAAAACGGGCTCACGGGGTAACTTCACACAGACACGTGTCGGGGGTGAAAGGTGCGGGGCGGGGGGGGGGGGAGAACGCTGGGGGAAGGGGACGGGGCAGAGCTCCGGCTGGGAAAGAAAACAGGTAGGTATCCCCGGGCGCGCGGAGGCACCAGGTAGAGGGGCGGGAGCCCGCGGCAGGGGAGGGGCGAGGCTCGGGGAGCAGCGGCTCCTCAGCGGTGGGGGGGGGGGGGCGAGTGGGGGGGAGGGGCAGGGGAGGGGCCGAGCGGCGGGCGCGGGAGGCAGCCCCGAGGGAGCGGGGCTCCGGGGCCAGGGGCTCCGGGGCCGCCCCCCTGCAGCGCCGGAGGGTCGGAAGCGCCGCGGGCGACGGCGCGGGGGACGGAGGCGCGGCGAGGACCTCGGCGGGGGAGGGGCACCTACCCGGACGCGCGGGGCGGCGGCGGCGGCTCCTCTCGCGCTGAGGCGGTGGCGGCGGAGGTGATGGCGGCGAGTCCCTGTGGCGGCCGCCTCCACCGAGCCGCATCCCTCCTCCGCGGCCCGCCCTCCTTCCTATCTCCCGCTCCTAAACTTCTTCCCCGGGATAAACAAACCCGCCGCCAGGGGCGGCCGCCTCCGCTGCTCCCGCCCCCGCGCAGCGCGCCCCCCCCCCCTCCCGGCCCCGGGCCCGTCCGGGCTCCGGCTTCCGAGTTGCGACTCCAGCCCCAGCCCCAGCGCGCGAGGGCGCGTGCGCGCGGCGGCGGCGGCGGCGGCGGCGGCGGCGGCGGCGTGGGCTCGCCCGGCTCTTGCTCCCTCCCTCCCGCGCCGGGCACTTCCGGCCGCCGGGATCCGCCGCCGGGTTTTGGGAGCCGCCGCGCGGCCGTGGGGAGGACGAGGCGCTCGCCTTCCCCGGGGTCCGCCCCTGCGACCCGGCGGAGAACTTCGCCTCAAAAGCCCGCCGGGGATGCCTCAGTCGGTGGACGGTGGACGAGGGGTGCGAAGGGCGGCAGCCGATTCTCGGGGTTTCCTCGGGGCCGTGCTGGGCTGGGAAGCCACCGCGCAACCTTTACTGAAGCTCCGTGGCGAGCTCCCACCTCCGCGAAGGGGCCCGAGGCAGCGGCGGACGGCCCCCAGCGGGAGCAGAGGCCACCCGGGACCGGCCCTCAGATGGAGGACGCGCGCCTCAGGCCCGGGAGCCGGGGCGGCCGAAGCGCAGCTGCGGCGGCGTCCCGGGACCCCTGGTCGGCTACTAGCGCTGCAGCTGAGGCGCCGCCCGCAGAGAGGAGACCGCCTCCCGGAGTTGAGAGAAAGGTGACCGAGGGCACAACAGTTTTCAGCACTCGCGAGAGAGAACTTGCTCTAGCTGACAAGAACCCTTTTTTTTTTTTTTATTTTTATTTTTTCAGATTTTATTTATTTATTCATGAGAGACTCAAGGAGAAGCAGGCTCCATGCAGGAGCCCGACGCGGGACTGGATCCCGAGACCCCAGGATCAGGCCTTGGGCCAAAGGCAGGCGCTGAACCGCTGAGCCACCCAGGGATCCGAGAATATTCTCATTTAAAGAGCCTTGAGGGACCAGTGCAGGCACGACTATCATTTAAAGACCCTCCCCCACTCCCAGTTCCTTTCAGTTTTTTTAAACTGAGCATCAGTCAACTGTTTAACCTGTTTTCCTAAGAACGGGAGACAGAGAGAGATGGAAGAAAAACGTTTTGTTATTTCACTAGGTGTTGAGCCCTGAAAACACAGACTCACTCGTATGATCTTTTAAAAATCACCCCCCCCCCCACAACTTTCCAGTTTCATGGTAGAGATGATTCGCATCTCACAGATAAGAGCAACTGAGGATCAGCAATAATAAGTATCTCGTTCAAGGGTAAATGGAGTTTGAATACTGGGAAAGCAGATCTCCCTCGCTTCAAATTAATAGTATTTTGTATTATTCGTGTATTTAACATGCAAAAAACAAGCGAGGGATACAACCAGTGCTAAGGAGTTTCAGAAAAAAAAAAAAAAGTAAGATCAGCATAACCATAAAATCCAAAATTGCCTTAGCCAAGGCTTAAAAAGCAGAAGTAAAAGTGAGCATTAGTGGGCTAGAGACTGGTGGGGAGAGGAAATGGCAATGCGAAATTCTCCAAAACGTAAGAAAGTATAGTTAAGGGCAGCCCCCGTGACCCAGCGGTTTAGCCCCTGCCTTCCAGGTTGTGACCCTTGGGTCCCGGGGTGGAGTCCCACATCGGGCTCCCTGCATGGAGCCTGCTTCTCCCTCTGCCTGTGTCTCTGCCTCTCTCTGTGTCTCTCATGAATAAATAAATGAAATCTTTTTAAAAAAGAAAGTACAGTTAAAACGATTTGCTGTACCCATTGTTGGACTGTTAACTTTATGATATGTGACAGAAACAGTGGAAATTGTGTATGATTTCCCGTCCAGGCCTTTTAGCTCTTTCAACTCCTTAAATTATATCCTACCATCTCTTCCACTAATCATTCTTAGGCACTGATGTAATATACTCAGGCAATCAAATTATAATAAATCCTTGAGGTCGATTTTTAATTAAGAAATGAGTAGTACTTGGGTGACCCTTGACACTTAACAGGGTTCTAGTTCCACCATAAGAATGTCAAATGGCTCATCAGGATATTCTAATAGAATCCTTTCCCTAGGCTTGATCTTTTTGCAGAGTGAGGACATACCATTCTTTTTCCTGGTGACTTTATCCATTGATAAGGTAATACTAAGAGTAAATATGGCTTATAACTAATGCTAATAAAATTGTGATGGTTTGGCAAAGTAAAGGATGACTCAGTGGTCAATAAGCTTGGATTAAGTTTGGTACTATGATACCTATACCCTAAAGAACTACCTTTCTTGATTTGATTTAGAACTTAACTAGATACCTATTGGAAAAGTAGACTACTATAGGCTATAGTTTATTGCTGCCGTAACTGATTTTTATGACTATGTAAAGAAGTAACAGCTTTATCACTGGTGTAGAGCATAGTGTGCTTCCACCAGTCATTTATCAGGTTTGCATTGCTTAAGGCATTAACTGTTAGGGTGTTCCAACTCCTTAGACACCAAGAAACTTTTGATACTCATTTTTCTGTTCACTGCCAGTTTTCTGTAGAAAACCATTCACACTCAGTGTAAGACTTGGAAGTTCTACTTACTGTAATTAATAGGTTGGCAGTTTATAAAGATCAGGAGAGCCACTCTCTTTCATGAGCATAAATGAGGACTAGACTTTGGATCTTCCTGACCCAACTCTATGAGGCTGATCTGGAGAGCCAAGCAAGCATCCCACTTTGATATTTTAGTGACTGCAGCATTTTAGTTCTCTTTTCTAAATTAAAATCACAGGTGCTCCCATTTCATGACCGGGTACAGACAATGGACTCACTGCCTTCCATACCACCACCTGTTTTGTGCTATCATTTTCCAATTCTAGCTATCAACTACAGCGTGCCATGGCAAACAGTTCACAAATTCATTTTTCTGTTAGAGTCAAGAAAGTGGCAGTATGCTTTTTAGCAAACATAATATCCTTCATGAATCCTATATGAAGTACTCTTGTATTTCCTGGGACATTTTGCTCATACCCCATCCTTCCCAGTGTCCACCAGGCTCTCCTCTCCTAGTCTCTTGGGTGGAAAGGCAGCACAGAAAGGATGAGAAATGTGAAAAAAAAAAAAAAAAGAAAAGTAGGTTGAAGATAGACAAGACAAATATCTATCTCTCCTAGTGAGCTGGCTTCCCCATATTTTTCTAACCATTATCCCTTCCTGTCTTAAATTTTCTTCAAGGGAAACAAACTCAGGCCTTAATTCCATAAACTAACACTTGTGACCAGACATTTAAAATAACATTTAGCTTTTGGAATTTATATGGAAAGAACAACTTGGTTGCTAATTATTTTACACTGTTTTAAATTTTAGGTCTTTTACTTGGAAAACACTAAAGCTCTTTAATAACTTGTGAGTTATTTTATGGATAATTTTATTTTCTCATATCTACATTTCTCTCTCTGGCTTTTTGCCTTGCATATGAATTCCTAGTTTTGTTAATACTTTTGCATTATATGATACTCATTACGGATCTGAAAACTTTAGAATTATACCTACAACCCTTGTGCAATGATACCTGTAGCAAGAAAGAGCCTGCAAGTTTGATGTACTTAACATTCAAAAGGCATTTCCAGAAAACTGAGATGGGGCCCACCTAGAATCTTGAGAACAGGATCATTTTTGTGTCCTTTGTTTAGGTCCCTCTTTGGCACCTTTATTTTCATGTCCCCAGCCACATTATTTCAAATATTTCAGGATACTCTTGTTTCAAATTAAATGTGCATTCACATATTTAATGCTTTGGTCCTTTGGATAATCTGTGGGGTCTACTGTAAGATGATTTTTGCTATTTCTCTTTTATCACCATGTGAAGAGTACGAGTTGAGTTGCAGTTCATTAGTTGGCATACTGTTAACGTTTTATAACCATTCAATCAAATATTAATTTTAATCAGTCTTGAAACATTATTGAGGCTCTTAAAACATTAGTTTTCCCTAGATTCTGGATCACTAATACCCAGTGAACGAGAAATGGCAATACCTCTATCTAGGCAATAAATCGTCTTGGAAAAGATCTTGGTTACCCTATCTACAAGTTTTCTGTTTACAATGGAATGGGATAAAAACAACAAAAATAATCTCTTTGACAAGGTTATCCAAAGCCCCTACAGCATCCCTCCAGGCATGCTGTGAGAACTCATTCTCATCAAGGTCACTTACAGTTGCTGGAAATCTTTTAGTGTGCCAGGATCCAGGCGGTTGCTGCTGCCATGATCTAGTAGTCCATGATGACCTCTTTCTTCTTCAGCTTGGCTAGGTAAAAGCTCTTTCTCTGCTGGGGCCCTGGCCCTGGCCATGGCCCTGCCCTGCTGTCAGGTAACCCAAGAAATTGTGGTTGATCTTGGACCTTGTAGATAGTCCCAGGGGAAGCCTAACGCTCTCCACTGTGCTCTCCAGCCCAAGGTCACCAGCCTCTGCAGCAGCCTCAAATGGCTCTAGAGGTACAGCTGCTCAGTCTCCTCCTCTTTTATCTCTGCTCAGTCATCACAATGTCCCCAGGTCTTTGGTCCCCTCCCAGAGAGACACACCCTGCTGCCTATGAGGATGATTCCTGGCTAAAGGAGTTTATTTAAAAAACTGCCCCTGCCAAGCCCACTGGGTGGTTCCTTGTCTCTAGCTTTCTCCCTGAAAATTGGAATCTATTCACTTCACTCTCCTCTGACTCTGATTTGAGAAGTAACCGCTCCATGGTCATTTACTCTGGACACAATAAAGGGCCCTCCCTCCCTCCAGAGTAATCTCAGATGATGTCCTGTTTCACTTAGACTATGAAACCCCTCCCCTCAAGGAGGAGGCATATAGAATTGGGGCCTGCTTCCAATCTAGAAGTCCTAGAGGTCCCATTGGAGGAAATGTTCTAGCAGTGTTCCTGGGATTGCCCAGTAGCCAATCACACTAGGTGAACTTGGGAGCCTTGGAACTTCTGTGCCTCAGTGTTCCTTGACTCACTGATTTTCACTGCTCTGCTTTTAGTCCTTTTAGGACTGAGTTCTCTGACTCAGTCCTTTCTTCTGCCTCTTGCCCCTTTGGAAACTAAGTTTAGAAACTTTAGAAACTAAGCCCTGCTGTCTAGCTTTTGCCAAGTTTGCATTCATACCCCTCCATAACACTGAGTGGCCACCTGCCTCCAGATGGTTCTCTACTATTCAGTGTCCTTTGCTTCCAGCCTGCCTGCCAGTTTGGAAACCCTGGTATGAACATTTCCAAAATTAGAAACTAGACTGTGCCATCTCCAGGGACACTGTGTTGTACCTCCCAGCACCCAGTCGAGCCCAACCTCTGCATATGTCTCAGATACCCTTTCCCTAAGCCTCCCTCTCTTCCCCACCCCCACATTTCTGGCTTTGGTGATTTGGGTTTCTGCCTTCCTCTTGCCTGCCCATCCTTGCTGAAGTTCTAACACACTCTTGACCATCCCTGCCTGTACTATGGGAGGCTAAAGAAGGGCCAACTAAAGGGCTACATAATCCCTGGATATTCTATTAGAGGCCTTATTCCACATCCTGTCAAATATAGTCATATCTCAGATGAAAAATACAATGTTTGGCTATGCAAAATGAAAGATTCATATAATTTTCCTCTTGAAATATTTATTAATCTCATTTTGCAGTTTTCTGTATATTTTAGAGCCAAGATATTTTTTTCCAGCTCGTAATTTGATAAAACCTGGAAAAGCATATGGGCTCTAGGGGCTGTGCCTTTAGTTAGAACCTGAGCCTTTAAAAAAAATAATAATAATAACTGGCTCTGGGTGGGAAGGACATAAGCACTTCCACACTGGATTCAGGTTCACGCCTTCCCTCTACCTTCCATTATCACTTAAATCTTTTTCTTTTCCAGTTTTTGATAACTGGGCTTCTCTGTTTGATCCCCTGACTCGGTCACTCACCTTTTATTTGAGCTGCTTACACAGACACTCCCTTTATTCCAAATGCCAGCTGGCCTGCTGGGATTTCACAGCATCACAAGACCCCAGATTTGCTTTCACAGTGCTCCTACCACTGGGGGCCCACTGTTACAATCTTAAAGCCTCCTCCCCTTAGGAGACTGTAGCTTTTGACTATGGCATTTGTTTGCTTGACCCTGTAGTTATGAGGATGTTCTCTGCACACTGGACTCTCATAAGTCTGCAGCTGCATCCACCTCTCTGGTGGCTCCTCCACTCAAAGAGACAGATCCAGTACTGCATATGGATGCTTCAGTCTTACCCTGTCTGCTGGGACTGACCAGGGATGACCACTTGTGTCTGAGGTATGATAGCTTCCAGGAATCATACTTTACATTTTTGTACTTAAAGTACCTGTTCACATTTATCTGCTTTAGTTATCTCATTCCATAAAGGAGGACTTTTATGCCTCAGTTAACAACAGCATCACTGTTACACTTTTCTGGAGGTTTTTCTAATCATTGACTATTGCAGATTGAGAGTCTGCACAAGAAACCAAATATCCCAGTAATTACGCTGGATTATATCTCTTCTAAGTATTAACCATTACTTAGCTGAAAGAACCATTGGAAATTTAGTTTTTCCTTTCTATGATTTCTGATTTTATAGTAGTGATTCTGCAATTTCAAAATATTTCTTAAAATTAAATTATGTATATTAAGTACAGATAGTGAACGAGTTAAGAGGGAGAGCCTACAGTAATACATTATGGCCTCTTTAGTCTACTTTCTCAGTCTTTTTCCCCAGAAAGAACATTAGGCCAGCCTTTTAAAAATTGTGTTCTCCTATAGGCTACAAATTTGAGAGGAAAGGTGATGAATGTTTTTATTTTCATGTTGTCAAGAACTCAGAAAGAAATTGCTTCTGTTTTGAGTGTGGAGCCTACTGTGTGCAAAAGAGGTGTGCACACAGAGATTTCCTTTCTGAACATCTATTAGAGGGGGTTTTTTGTTTTTATATATCCTTATTTCTCTAAGTTGTCATTATTTAGGTCTAGATATTTATGAGAAATGTTTTTGTGCTCCATCTGTCAAATTCCTTTTCTGAGTTTGATTTTTAGTTAACTTATTTATTGGGTCCAGGATAGACCTAAGATCTGTTTTGTTTTGTTTTGTTTTTTTTGTTTGTTTTTTCCTTAAAGGAAAACATGATTTAATACTGGAATAATCATTTGATACCTTGAACTAATTTGTGGTGTCCTTGTGTTGGGAAAATGCCCACAGGACAGTGTGATGGCTCTGAGCTTGTGTCCTTCAGATCCATCTTTTGGCTTTTCTGTGCTCTAAATCTCAGACAGCTCCTGGCTATTTCCCAGGCCCTGTGTCAGCTGGCTTCCTATTGAATTAAGCCAATAGGAAGCACTGTCAGGAGCCTGGAGTGTGGGAGAATAGGAGAAACCAGTGTATTTCTCCCCCTCGCTTTCTTCCTCAGGCATTGTTCCAGCAACAATTATGTATCCTCCCAGGTTTCATCTCCTGCTTGACGAGCCTACCACAGAATCAGCCCTGGGCCCTGGCAATACGGTTTCCTCTCTCCTGCCTGTTTCAAATTATTGTGGCTTCCTGTGGTTGCTAATCCCTGGATTCCTCTCAGTTTTTCCATCACCTGTACAATGGATTCCTTATATCAAATTCTCTGTTTAAAGTAATGACTGTGGTCTCTCCTTTTCTGGTTGGATTCAGCACCTTTGTCCATTTTATGTTTTTATAAGAATCTTACCCTTTTTATAGAGGAAAGAATGATTTTCACAAAGAAGTGGTCATTTTAAACTTGGGACGTGTCTGTGCGTATCCTCGTGACTTGACTAATGTCTTTGTTCTTTCCGCTTCTTATCTCCTATACTTGCTTCCCACCTCCCAAAATAGCCAATCCATTCCCTGTTCTCTGCCACTTTCCACCCTTAAAGCATACGACACCTGTCTTTTGGAGTCGTATCACCTTGGATGCACAATGATTTATTTGCTTTTTTTAATTTTTAAATTCCTTTTTATATAATGTTCTTAACAAGACTGTGACAACTGTAAGATAGCAAAAAGGAGTACTGGATTTTTCATCCAGAATTTGAATGTGTGGAACCTTGCTTGAATCCTTAAGCCTCTTCTTGTACAACAGGCCCTTGGTAGTAAAACAGAGAAAAGATGACTTCACCAGAGCTATGAACAAATGAGATTAAAACATGAAAGGATTTTGTAAGTGATAAAATGCCAAGCAAATGCAAGAGATTATTTAAAGCTGTAAATAAGAGTAGTTATTTTTTTCTTAAATGTAATTTTAAAAGTCTCAGCAAAGGTATTTCATAGTTGGAATTTATGCTGAAGTTTAGTAGTTTCATATCTAACACATGACTTTTTAATTTCAGTTCTGTTGACATTTGGGACTAGATAATTCTTTGTTGTAGGGGGCTATTCTGTACACTGTAAAATGTTTAGTGGTATCCTTGTATCTGTCTGCTAGATGCCAGTAGCACCCTCCCCTTCAGTTTTGACAACCAGAACTTCTATAAACATTGCCAAATGTTCCCCTGGGAGAAGAGAGAAGCAAAAGTACTGATCTAACCAAATCTACTTGGGAAAATGTCACCTCTTTTTAATTTAAGTTGTTAAAAATAAATAAAGGAGTTTGGGTTTCTAGAAGACTATGGGGAAGGACTTCTAAAAATGCAACTATGAAACATAAGTTAAGAGATCAATAAACCTTGCAATGAAAGTGACTAGTTATTGTCACAGCAGCAATGATATCTCACGAAGTATTTATGTTGGAGAGACTAATTTTCCTGCTTAGTTTTCTGGTTAGACTACCTAACCAAGATGGGCTTTCTTCATAAAATTAATCCTTTTGTTATTTATATTAGGTATTTAAAAACACTAATACTTTATATCTATCATATGTTGCTATCTTTTGATGTCCTTTAAGGCTTCATTAAGTGTTTGTAGGAACAAATATTTCACTAATATTATGACTCAAATATTGTGGGTCTGTACTTGTGTAGATTGCCTTTAGTAGCAGTAGGAGTTAGAATTTTATAAGCATCATGGCTAGCCTCATATTATTATAATTCCTAATATGATACTCTTAACTATCATTAAATTACCATTGGAAGGCAAACCATAGCTATTTAAAATATAGAAATTATTGTTTTAAAAGTATTGATTCTAGCTTTCCAAAGATGTCTTTTTTAGCTTATATTGCCAATAGGTTTCTAAGAGTGGTTTCTCATCTCCAACTGTGTTGGTTAGCTTTCTTCTTAGCTTACAGAAATATTGACCAGAGCAGATTGTAAAACAGCAGAAGCAGGGATGTCTGGGTGGCTCAGCGGTTGAGCACCTGCCTTGGGCCCAGGACGTGATCCTGGAGCCCCAGGATCGAGTCCCACGTGGGGCTCCCTGCATGGAGCCTGCTTCTCCCTCTGCCTGTGTCTCTGCCTCTCTCTCTCTCTCTCTCTCTCTCTCTCTCTCTGTATTTCTCATTAATAAATAAATAAAATCTTAAAAAAAAAAAAACAAGGAGAAGCAGGTTGTAATGATAAGGCTACTTTTGTTGGGAGGACAGAGATGTACTGTCCTTGACATGAGTGTATTGCTAACCTTGTGGACACACAGCATCTCTAAGACTGTTAAAAAGAATACTTACTGCTTCAGGAGAATTAGATTCATTTCCTCATCTACTATTTTGCATTCTTCTGGTTAATCTTTCTTCGGGGGATGATGGGCCCTCTGATGATTAATAATGCTCTTTTAAGGATTTTTTTTTCATAGAGTATTTCAATAAAAAGTCTTATGATTGAGGTAGATACTGGGAGTTTTAGATGAAGACTGCAATGAAATCAGGCCAGAAAGTTAGGACCCTCTTATTTGCTGTCATACTACCAAATTTGAATTACTGGATCAGGCCTACCTTTACATTCACTGCCATTTCCCCGGTAAATTACATATTATATCTGCCCTGCAAGTTCTCATCTATTAGACCCCTGTGGAGAAAATTGAATCAGTAAACTATCAGGACAAGTTTGGGCTAGCATACCACACCATGAATGAGTTTTCTACAGTGGAATTCTCTTGTTTCTGGAGAAGGAATCTGTCTGTGGTATCAGTGTTTGCTTCATTTGTTTTCGATTTTTAAGATCTGAGAAAAAATGTGAGTGTGGATGCCAAATTTCCCATTTTCATCAAATAAGAAAAGACGTGGACCATTTCAGAGACCTTCTTGCTAACTCTGCTTCATAAGAAAAGCTCACAGATGGAGTTACAGGGTCTGAATTCACCTTCCTACCTTCCTTCCAACCGAAACAAACGAAACAAAACCAAAAAAGATAAAATACTTTAAACAGTGCTTTTTAAGGCACTAGATATCAGGCAATAAAGGACAATGATTCTTGGAAGATAAGAAACAAGAGATGAGGCCTACTATTGCCCCAGCATACTAACTTGAGAGAGTTTTCAGGCCCTGACATATGGAAGGAAAGCTGAGGTGAAGCCTAGTTAAGACCAGGAATTTAAGAAACATATGTGAGAGTCCAGGGACATCAGGGCAGTGAGAGTTGCTGGGATGAGGGGCAAAAAGCAGAGAGATGCACAGAAAGAAAATAGGCAATGTGCAACTGGTACAAGTGTCAAATATTCAGCAAAGTCCTGATCAGCACATGCTGTGAGGAAACTACCTGAGACCCTGAAAGGAATAAAGACAACCTATGTGTGGAGCACATAAAGGGCCAGAAATAAGGGTGCCTGGGTGGCTCAGCGGTTTAGCGCCACCTTTGGCCCAAGGTGTGATCCTGGAGACCCAGGATCGAGTCCCACCTTAGGCTACCTGCATGGAGCCTGCTCCTCCCTCTGCCTGTGTCTCTGCCTCTCTCTCTCTCTGTGTCTCTCATGAATAAATAAATAAATAAATCTAAAAAAAATAAAAAATAATAATAAAAAAATAAAGGGCCAGAAATCGTGCCCATTCCCTCCAGCCTGACTAGAAACACTTATAGTTCATAAGACACTGGATAGATTACTCAAGAATGTCTTGCTACATTAGCAGGGAATAATTAGCTCTAGACTCAGAACCGCTCCCAATCTGTCAAACCATGAAAGCAAAACCTGAAAGGATCTATTTCCAATAACTTAGCATCATTCCTGAAGTAAGCTCAAGAAGCTTTATGAGAATTCAAAAGTATCCAGCACCAAACAAAATGAAAATCACAAAATATGCATGCAATCAAAGACTACCACACATGCAATGAGATAGAAAAATACAACCCACAATGAGAATAACCAAGTGGTCAAAACTGTCCCAGAATTGATACAGATGATGTAATTAGTAGCAATGGACATCAAAACTTTTGTGATTATATTATATATTCAAAGAGGGTAAGTAGAGATTAAAAAAAAAAAAGACCCCCATCAAATTACTAGAGATGAAGACTACAATGTCTAGGATGAAAGATAGGTTGGATGCAATTAACAGCAAATTAGTTGTGACATGATAAGAATTTGAAGGCATAGCAATAGAAACCATCCAAAATGAAACACACAGAGAAAAAGGAACTCCCCACATTAAAGAGTATTGGTGAGTTGTGGGAGCCTAAGGTATGAGTAATTAGTTTCCACAAGAGAAAGAGGGGTAGGGCAGAAATTTTTTGAAGAAATTCAGAACCTTGCCAAACTTGATAAACCCACAAATCGAAGAATCTCGATGAAACCCAACCACAAGAAACATGAACAAAATTACAGCAAGATCTATAATCACCAAAATGTAAAATGATGATAGAAAAGGAGAAAGCTACAAATACCCAAAAATAAAAGACATGTGCAGAACAACAAAGATAAGACAAAATATTTTTTTTTAAATTGGAAATAATGCCAAGTGAGAATACAGTGGAGCAGCATCTTTAATGAAAAAACTTGTCAGCCTAGATTTACATGTCCTGCTAAAATATTTTCAATGACAGTAAAGATATTTTCAGACATATAAAAGCTAGGAGAATTCATTGCCAGTACTACAAAAAATGTTGTAAGAAGTTAGTCAAGCAGAAGGAAAATAATACTAAGTGGAAACAAAATATACAAAGGAATGAAGAACTCCAGAATTGGTGACTACATAGTTAAATATATCATTTCTTTCCTACGCAAATCCTTTAAAAGATAATTTACTGTTTAAGCAAAAATACTAACAATGTCCTTTTAATACATATAAGTAAAATGCATGATAACATTAGCATAAAGGCCAGGAAGGGAGAAATTAGAGTTTTTATAGAGCTTAAGTGTTTTACTATCACTTGAACATAGACTGTGAAAAGATAAAGCAATAAAATAGCTCAAGAAAGATACAGTGAATAGCCCAACAAAGCAGAAAGAAAATTCATTAAAAAGATCCAGAAGATGGTAGAAAAAAGGAAAGGGGGAACAAAGAACCTATTTATCAAAGATAAATAGAAAACAACCATATAAATAATCACATTAAATATAAATAGCTTAAGCATTGCCATTAAAACAGTAAAGTTATCTGATTGGATTTGAAGGCACAATCCAACTAACTGTATGCTGCTTACAAGAAATGCACTTCATATATAAAGACAAATATGTTAAAAGGATAGAAAAAAGATACAAAATGGCTAAAACTAGTCAAAAAACACTGAGGTGACCATTAGATATTTCCAGAGCAGGACTATTACCACACATAATCCTTCATAATCCTTATGAAATGATTTTTATTTCTATTGTAAGCTTTTTGTTTTGTAATGATTGTGATGGTCATTTCATAAAGATTAAGTAGTCAAAAGGATGTAATCTTAATGATTTATGCACATATTAATAGTGCTTCAAAAAAGTGAGGTAAAAACTGATAGAACCACAAGGAGAAATAGACAAATGAACTTGGAGACTTGAACAACCTTCATGACCAACTTGATCTGATTGACTGTTATAAAACACTGCACAACAAAAGTAGAATACACATTCTTCTCAACTGTACTTTAACCATTTACCAAGATCGGTCATATTTTGTGCCACAATACACATCTCAGAAATTAAAAAATATATATATATATATTCCAATCGTACAAAATCTGTTCTCTGACCACAATGGAATTAAACTGGAAATCAGTAATGTAAAAGATCTTTGAAAAATTCCTAAATATTTAAAAATTAAATACTGCACGTTTTAATGACCCATTAATCAAAGAAGTCAAAAGAGAAATTAGAAATCATTGAATTAAATGAAAATAGAAACAACATAAAAGAATCAGTGGGATAATTCCCTTGGAAATTTATACCATCATACCTATATTTTAAAAAAAAGAATGGTCTGAAATGAATGACCTTCCACTATGAAAAACTAACAAAGGAAATTGAGCCCAAAGTAAACAGTACACATGAAATAATACAGATCAAAACAGAAATAAAGGGTGCCTGGATGGTTCAGTTGGTTAAGCATCTGCCTTTGGCTCAGGGCATGATCCCATGGTCCAGCATGGGGCTCCCTGCTCAGTGAGGAATCGGTTTCCCTTCTCCCTCTGTACCTCCCCTGCTTGTGCTATCTCTCTGTCAAATAAATAAAATCTTTAAAACAAAAACAAAAAGCAAAAAAATAAATAGAAAAATCTATGAAACCAAAAGATGATTCTTTGAGATCAGTAAGATAGTAGTTGGACTGATCAGGAAAAAAAAAAAAAGAAGAGATACATAATAAAAGGAATAAGAAAGGATATCACTACCGATTTTAATA